GTACACAGGGCTTTTGGAATTGGAATGAATGAATTTTTAGATTCCGAAAATTTTGGAATTGGAATTGGAATTGATTTTGTACTTCCGAAATTTTTTGGAAATTTTCCGAAAATGCTAATTCCGATCCGATCCATCCGACTTTCACCCCTAACTGCAAATATAAAATTTTATTCAACTATATTGAAACAAAAACCCAATCCTTTAACCCATAACGAATCATTTAAAACAAAATCTTAACAAAGTATACATCTATTTGTTTAATTCATTTCCATTGTTTTACAAAGTAAGATATATGTAAACCGGTGATGCTATTAGAATGTATACGTTCGAAATACTATTAAAATTTGACAAACTTTTATAAGGATTAAAAAAATGGATAAGAAAATAAGGATTAAAAAAGCTACTTATATTTTACTAAACATATTTTTTGTTGTGATTCAAAATAAATATAAATATTACCATAATAATGTAAACAAAATCTTTGTTTTTTATGACAATTGCTATCAAAATTTCTATGAATTATGTAACATATTAGTATAACGATAATTTGCATTAATACCAATTTATTAGCTTTCATGAAATACCTCATGACCAAGAAGTATGTCATTATTCTAGTTTGCATCATTATAAAGGTGATACACATTTTATACATTCAATGGCAAATAGTGAATAGTATAATTATTGTATTATATAAAAAATAAGTCACATTATTATATAATAGCAAACATTCGATATAAAAACAGTTATAAAATAGCGAAAATATTGGAAATTACTAATTACTATATCTTGTTAATATCTATATTATAACAGCAAAAACTCAAATTATTATAAAGAAAAAACAAAAAAAAGGGCAATATGGCATTGAAAAATATAATATTTATCTACCGGAATATGTAATGATTATAAATCAATCTCGGTTCTATGGATGTTGACTAATATATTTCCTAAATTTTATATTAAAATTTTTAGCAATAAATATGTATGAAGTTTTTTTTTTTATTTAGTGTGTGTGAGTCAAAAATAAATTCTTAAAAAATAGTATGTATTGATTTTAAAAGAATCTCGTTTTACAAAATTTTGTAACGTAGAAATATATATATATATATATATATATATATATATATATATATATATATATATATATATATATATATATATATATATATATATATATATATATATATATATATATATATATATATCTCTATATATATATATAAGCACAAAATTGTATATATATATATATATATATATATATATTTTTATATATATATGTAGAGAGGGAGTGTATAACTATATATATATATATATATATATATCTCTCTCTCTCTATCTCTCTCTATATATAACTATATATATATATATATATATATAGACACAAATTATCAATTTAATTATAATAATCAAGAGCAAGATTAAAACATAAAATAAATTATAAATTAGAACCTCCTAACACTATTAAACTCCCAACATTAAACAAATTTCATCCAAAGAAAATTCTAACAAAAATTTCAATGAAACAAAAAAAAATATTTAAGGAGTAAATCTTCTTCTTGACTTGCACAATGCACTTCAATGACGTTTTTGTTGGGATAAACAAAAATTGCGTGATTCTTCCACGAATAAATCTCAAAGAAATCTTTTTTTTTTTTTTTTTGCCAATGTATCCTGCAACATCTCCAAATTGCTTGGATATGTGCTTCACGAAAATTGATCAATTAACAACATATTATTAATTACACATTAGTTATAGAAAATATAACAAAACAAAATATGAATATAACCTTTAATTTTTGAAATTTCAAGATGTAGTCGCACTTTTTGCAAATTCATAGAACTTTTTCATATCCGATATCAGTCGTGTACAATACATGACTTAACAACGTCCATATCTACAGATCATTAAAAAAATGTTAGAGATATATACTTATGTAAAAATAACAAATAATATAATGCAAAGTTAATTTGGAGCAAATAATTATCATGTGCATCGAAACAAATAAATCATAATAATATATTTTGTCGAGAAAAAAAATGTACACCGAAATATGAATTTCAATATAATTATCAGAAGAAAAAAACAGAAAAACTAAAAAGAGAAACCAAGAATAAAAAAATACTCCCTCCCTCCCTCTCTCTCTCTCTCTCTCTCTCTCTCTCTCTCTCTTTCTCTCTCTCTCTCTCACTGGATTTTTTTTGGTGGAGATGAATTTTGTGGTATGAGATTTTATAGTTGTATTTATGCAACAAAAAAGTAAATAATATGTAAAAAATGGAAATAATTAATTAACATTAAAACAAAGATTTTCAAGATTGAATTTTTGAATTTGAATTTTAAAATAAATTAAAGTACATGTTTAAATAAGGAAAACCCGAAACCAATATAATTAATGATATGCTTCAATTTTGCTAAATCACACAATCACACACACACACACACACACACACATACACATACACACACATATATATATATATATATATATATATATATATATATATATATATATATAGAAATAAATTAATATTGTTTCTATAATTATAGAAATTATATATATTGTAATTGATATTAATTGACACTCTTGTATAAGATATTATGAAATATGGAAAAGATATAAATCAAATTAATACACAAAATAATAATATCTTATATTAAGTTGGTAAGTTTTAATTAATATGCATCTATTATCGGTAATTGCATTAAATAATTAATTAATGTGTGTATATTAATATTGTGATTATAATGGAACAAAAAATGCCACATTAGATATGAGGTGGATGCCACATAGATATGCCACATGTCGATTTCTTAAGCTATGAGGGTTTCAATTTATATATTATATAGATATATTTATTGTTTATAAAAAAAGAAACTCATTAACCAATAAAAATACTCTATTTTGATATGTAGGAGAGATAAAAATTTGAAACAAAAATGTGGAATTATTTCATTAATAATATGGGTGATTCTTGTAAGTGGGTTATTTTTGCAATTAATATAATATTGTGCATAAAATTTACTCCATTGTGAAATTATAAAAATTGCAATTAAGTCCTACGTTTTTCAAATCAAAATATTGTTTATAAAAAAAAAACTCATGAACCAATAAAAAGACATTATTTTGACATGTAGGAGAGAAAAAATTTTAAAATCAATAATGTCAAATTAATTAATTAATAATATAGATGATTATGATAATTGGGTTTTTTTTGCAATTAATATAATATTGTGTATAAAATTTAATTAACCCAAAAAAAGAATTAACGTATTTATTATGAAAAAATGGATTAAAAAAGGAAACTAAACAACCAATAAAAAGACACTATTTTGACATGTAGGAGAGATAAAATTTAAAAATTAATTATGTGAAATCAATTACATAATAATATGGTGATTATGGTAAGTGGGGTTATTTTGAAATTAATAATAAAATGTGGACTCAATCTCCTCAAGTGGATAAATTTTATTGTGTATCTTAGTTTTATATATAATATAGATTATAGGAACAAAGTATCCTCTTGAGTTGTATAATATTGCATCCGATCCATTTAACTATTATGAATATGTGGATGCTGACTCTCTCCGGATCTCCTTATCATGTGATGATATCAGATTTGTACGAATTTATTTATTGCAAATTTAATAAATCTACTTTTCTATCCATCTTAATTATTCAACTTTTTTTTTTAATTTATAATTTTTTTTTTCTCTTTCTGCCTTTTCCCGGCGTTGTTGACCGACAGTCAAATTATGGTTAAACAGATAAAATTGGAGTATATTAAAATAGGAGGGACATTTTAATCCTTTACATCCTTCTGAACTTCGTCTGAATTGTTTTGGTAAAAGAGATTTGGGAATGAACATAGATTAGAATATGTTGCCCACCCCGGAATTATTTGTAATAGCCCTTACATATGCATGTAATGTATGATAATTGATTATTACATTATCTTATCTTTCTTTTGTATGGTGCCGACAGAGCCTCTGGAGTAGAATAATCAGCATCATGTTCTGTTATTTCATGACAAATTTAATTTGGACCAAATAATTCGAATCATTATTAAATATTAATAATATATAAATATTATTGTAGTAGTAGTACTGCATGAATGGTAGGATCACCAAAGTTAGCTGTTCACATGGGCAATGAAATGACTCATCTCAAAATTTAAAACATTAATATATATAATGTGATATAACTTCATTAACCAACTAACAACAACTCTTAGGTAAATAAATTAAAGAAACAAATGCACATGCATCCATGGTAGTTGCACGTGATGTCGATACATATCACCAAGCCTGTATGTATATATATATATATATATGTATATATATGCGTACTCTCCATTGAGAAAGACATTATCAGATTTCGAAAACTATTTCTTCTAATCTTCATATTTTATCTCTCGTTCTTGATATATATCTATATATATACACAAGTACCCTTTTCTAATAATAAATGGCCAATTTTTCGACAGCAAATGAAACCAACTTTTCGAGTTACGATGATTTGAATGAGGTAGAGCTCTTAGAATATATCGACAGCTGTTCACTACTTGTTATGTCTTTACTCCAACAAGACGACAACGATTCAAAAGTCGAAGACATTATTAATGGATCTGATGATCAAAGGTTCGACACTTGCAGTACTTCATCAGACGAATATTCAGAAGATTCTCTCTTTCCGCAAATGGAAAGCAGCTCCACGTCACCGGATGATCATGGATTTGAATGGATGGATACGGAGATGAATTACTTTATCGATAATCATCATTTCACAGACGAGATTGAAACGGCGAATATGGTAATTAATGATTATTCAAATGTTTGTTATTATGGGACGATGCCCGTGGAGGAAGATGTTGATTACATTGATTTGTGGCAATAGCTAATTACAAAATTATCATTGTATTTGTTTATCACTCTATGGTGAAAATATCAAATTGATCGATCAATACTGTCAAAGGTTAATTATTATGACAGCCCATAATATATATATTTAAAGAATTTAAATTTTATGCTCTAATTATATTCATTCATTATTTTCATGACAACAAATTCAAACAAGAACCGATTTTAATCTGTTTTCAAGGCAAACTCTGTAATTATATTCTCCGGCTTCCTTTAGTATCTAATCAAACAATGAATGGTAGGTATATCTTCATAATGCATGAAGAATTTGCTTTTTTGTTGATTATGTTGGAAAATATTGAGTTTGAATACATTTATTTGTTGGTCAATAAGAAATTAATAGATCACTTATGTTTAATTATGTTGGAAAATATTGAGTTTGAAATTCATTTATTTGCATTAATTTTAACTTGAATTTAAGGTGAACTGGTTAATAAAATTAAGCCTTTTTTGCACTAATTTGATATTTAGATGGACTAACTAATAAAAAATTGGGTGGGCTAAATAGGAAAAAAAATTATGGGATAAATTATCAATTGAGAGTGGGACTTGAGTCCATCGTTGCGCAACGATGGAGTCGCCCTATGTACACATATATTCATCTAACAAATTGAATGTTCACATATATATATTTAGGGCATTTTTGATTGGGTAGTTTGGATAGATAGCTATGGATGGGATACCATAATTAAGCAAATTACTAAACAATAAATAAAACAAATAACTTATACTAAGCATCAGGCCCATCAATATATCGTGGGTTGGGTTTTGGCTGCCTCGTACTGCGTCTAGCCTTAACATTCTCCCCTTCTTCGAAACGCACCTTGTCCTCAAGGTGGAAGTCTGGAAACCGTTGCTTCAAGGTACTTGCAGATTCCCAGGTTGCCTCTTCCGCCGACAACGCCTTCCATTGGACAAGAACTTCCTGAACCTTGCTTCCGTTTCTATCTACTGTACGCGACCCTAAAATTTGATTAGGCTCCACCAATGGTCCTCCTTCGACATGGTATGGGGGTAAAGTCTGTACCGGTGTAATTTGATTCCCATATTTGCGGCGAAGCAACGATACATGGAATACTAGATGAATGCGCGTGTTTGCTGGCAATTCCAAACGATATGCGACACGGCCCACACGAGCAGAGACTTGAAATGGCCCATAAAACTTGCTAGGGAGTTTTTGGTGGATGCGTTTAAAAACTGAGTGTTGCCGATATGGTTGCAATTTAAGGTAGACCCATTCACCTACCTCGAACTCCTCCTCTCGCCTATGACGATCTGCTACTTGTTTCATTCGATTTCGAGCTGCGGCGAGGTTGCACTTGAGTTCCCGCATGATCTCGTCTCTAGTTCGGAGGGTCTGGTCAACCTCTTATACGTCGGCTGATCCTAATATATATGGAACCAAGTATGGTGGTGGTCGTCCATACATGACTTCAAATGGAGACATGCCTATAGACTGGTGGAATGTTGTGTTGTACCAAAATTCAGCCCATGCAAGAAATTCCTCCCATTTCTTCGGCTGTCCCCCAACGAAGCATCGCAAATATTGTTCAAGGCACCGATTTACCACTTCCGTCTATCCATCGGTCTCGGGGTGATAAGCCGTACCGGTCTTTAGCTGCGTTCCCTGAAGACAAAATAATTCCCGCCAAAAGTTGCTCAGGAAAATTCGATCGCGGTCGGAAACAATGGAGGTTGGAATGCCGTGTAATTTCACGACTCCACGCACAAAAGTGTTCACAACATCTTTAGCAGAATAAGGATGCGAAAGAGCCATAAAATGCGCATATTTTGAAAGCCGGTCAACCACTACTAGAATTGTGTCCTTGCCGCTAGAGCGCGGCAGCCCGTCAATAAAATCCATACTAATGTCTGCCCAAATGACATCGGGAATTGGCAGAGGTTCCAACAAACCCGCGGGCTTGCGCAAGTCGGACTTATATCTTTGACAAATGTCGCATTCGCGAACCCACTGACCCACATCCCTTCTCATTCCAGCCCACACAAACAGTTGAGCTATTCGTCGGAAAGTTCCAAGTTCACCAGAATGGCCTGCTAATGGTGAGCAATGGAACTCTTTCAAAATTTTCTCTCGCAATGGCAAGACTTCGGGCACTAACACCTTTCCATTCCGCCACACGCGTCCTCGACGAACTGAATACCCTTCACTTTCAGCCAAGCCTCTGCCCACATTTTCTTTTATTCCTACTAGTCTAGGATCTAAATCTGTGGCTTCAGCGATCTCTTCCCAGATTGCCCATGCTGGAATTGAAATTGTCTGTAACTCGCATGCGCCCGGATTATGTTCACTAGTGGTTACAACATTAGTGAGATTCCCTTGGTCACGACGTGATAATGAATCAGCTGCTGCATTCTCCTTTCCCGATTTATAGACAATCTCATAATCGAACCCCAAGAGTTTTGCTATCCATTTTTGTTGCTTCGGTGTAGTGACCCATTGCTCTAGCAAACAACGCAAACTACGATGATCCGTACAAATTTTAAATTTGCGGCCAAGAAGATAGGGCCGCCAACTTCGAACGGCTTCCAAAATGGCAAGCATTTCTCTCTCATACGTCGACCATGCTCGTTTTGTCGCGCTCAGACCCTTACTCAAATATGCCAGCGGTCGGCCATTTTGACTTAGTATAGCACCAATTCCTCCCCCAGAAGCATCTGTCTCGATCATAAAGTCCTCGTTAAAATTTGGTAGTGCCAATACCGGTGTGCTAGCCATAGCTTGTTTCAAATTTTCAAAGGCCTGATCAATCAGCCTTCTCATTCCACTCAAACGCTCCCTTCTTTAATAAATCTGTTAATGGCCTCGCAATAGTACCATAATTATACACAAATTTACGATAATACCCGGTCAATCCAAGGAATCCTCTAAGAGCTCGCACAGTGGCAGGTTTAGGCCACTCCACCATTGCTCTAATTTTCTCATCGTCGACTCGCACTCCTTCAATAGAAATCCAGTTGCCAAGGTACTCAACTTGTTTACGGCCAAAACAACATTTACTTGGTTTGACGTAGAAGTGCCCATCTCATAAATTTTTTAAAGTCACACGTAAATGTTGTAGATGATCTGCCCACGATCGGCTGTAGACCAAAATATCGTCAAAAAAACCAGAATAAAATGGTGCAAGTATGGTCGAAATATTTCATTCATTGCCGCTTGGAACGTAGATGGCGCATTGCACAACCCGAATGGCATAACCAAATATTCGTAATGCCCGTTGTGTGCTCGAAAAGCTGTCTTGTGTATGTCGTCTGGGTGAACACGAATTTGGTGATATCCAGCTCGTAGATCGAGCTTGCTAAAGTACTCAGCGCCGTGCAATTCATCCAACATATCATCCACCGTCGGAATGCGAAAACGATCTTTAACCGTAGCACTGTTCAAGGCCCTGTAATCTGTACAAAATCGCCACGACCCATCTTTCTTTTTAACTAATAAAACTGGTGAGGAAAAGGGCTCGTGCTACGCCGAATCAACCCCGGTTGCAGTAGTTCTTCCACTTGCCTTCCGATCTCACTTTTCTGAAAGTGCGCATAGCGATACGGAGTAACGTTCACCACTTTGGTTTCGTCATAAAGTCGAATTCGGTGGTCGAAGATCCGGGCTGGTGGTAGTTCTTTGGGCAATTCCTGAATATCGCGGAATTCTTCAAGTAATTTGCTTATTTCACTGCTCTCCTCCAACTCTCCTTCGCAATCTCGTAACTCGCCCCCGTCTCCCGCCACTACAAATAATTCACCGCCGGAAATCCAATCGGCTCGAATAGAATCTAAGTCAACCATGTCAATTTCTTTCTTTGCACGTCATTGAATATGGAATTCTCGACCTCCCTCTGTAAAACTCATTGTCCTGGCCTTGTAGTCGTTTATCACTACTCCAATACTTTCAAGCCAAGGTATACCTAGCACCACATCCAGATCACTTAATTCCAATGCGAATAACGTTGTCGTGAAACTATAGCCTTGCAGTTTCATTTTGACCGACTCATACTTTTCCGCACACTCCAATCTTGCACCATTAGCCACCCGAACACCAATTGGTTTAATCTTTGTGGCTGAGAGTTGCATTTGTCGAGCCAAACTAGAGTTAATGACATTAAGGCTTGAGCCATTATCAATCAATACCTCCACACGCGACTCCCCGAGGGTGCCTGTTAGGCGCATCGTTCGTCCGCCAACCTCGCCGCTTATGGCGTTTAAAGAGATTTGTTGTTCATCTTCTAGAGTATCGTTATTATCGTCGGTCTTCTCATCCAACTCGATGAGTAGAACTTGGGTTCGCTTGCATTGGTGGCCCTTAACGTACTTTTCGTCACAATAATAGCACAAATTCTGATCACGCCTCATTTGCAATTCCTCCCCAGACATACGTCGTTATTCTCCCATGGGCGGGGCTCGTCCCGATACTCCCAAAGTAGGTATGGTCGATGGGGTTCTTCCAGCGACGCGATTAGTGTTCCCTATTCTCCGGCCGGAAAGTAACTGCTCATCTTTTCTTTTTGCCAATTCTATGGCTGTCTAGTGATCTCTAGGTTTGAAAACTCGTACATTTGTGGCTATTTCCTCCTTTAACCCTGCCATGAAAGCCCCTGTCAGGGCAGCTTCTGACCACTCCGGTAGACAGTTCGTCAACTTCTCAAAGTCCCCCATAAATTCAAGAAAGCTCCATTTTTGTCTCAGCCTACAAATCGACTTGTTGGGGTCCTCGTAATCCCCGTGGCCAAACCGTAGCAGCACTCCTTTCTCGAAACGTCTCCATGATAATGGACGGTCACGATTAGTCCGCTCGAACCATTGCCACCATTGATTCGCATCCCCTTCCATATAGTACGAAGCGAGTCGACCTTCTTCTCCCCATGAACTTCGTTAGCGCTGAAATATTGTTTGGCACGATTAAGCCATGTCTTTGGTTCTTCTCCCGTAAACCGCGGAAAATCCATACGAACGGAATTTTGTCGCCGTTCTTTTTCACCACGGTGTGACGCCCTACTTTTCACTGAAGTACGTGATGCGCGACTGTCATCGCTCTTGTCATCGGAGGATCCATCTGACGACGGCGGTGATCGATTGCCTCGCCTACCCCACGGATTTAGGCGCGCCTCATTCCCTCCTGTCAAGAAGATGTTGCATAGATGTGCGAATTTCTTGTACAGCATTTTCCAAACTCTCTAATCGTTCCTTATTTGTTCCCATAACTTGAGCTGTGCGTCGATATTATCTCTGCCTAGCCCTAATGAAGCGTTGATACGATCTCAACCTCAACCTCGCTCTGAATACTAATTGATACGATCTT